TCCACGAGTCATAAAAGAGCCAAGGTTGCCTATCCCTGCTCTAGGCAGCTTCTCTTCCTTTCTCCCCAAGTCTTTGCCACATACTATTACATCTGATTATAAGAAAACCATTGAAGAGTGTCCATCTGTTGCTGATAGTTTCCTTGTTTTCATTTTAATTTCTTCCTTATCTTGCATGAATAAATCCCTGTATGTTAACCATAGTTCTTTATCTGCTATTTTTCTCTTCTGTAGATGTCAACAGTGATATTTTTGGACAAAGTCTGGCTTATAGTTGCTCCATATTCTTGATAATAGATATTATTGAGACCTACATTTACTTTTGTTTTATCATTCCATTAAAAAAACACCACTCAAAGCTGGTGTCTTCTTTCAAAGTTCAGATCTCTGCCATTATAATAGCAATAGTCTCACTTAGTTCAGTGCAGTTTCCAGTGTGCATGGCAACGTGTATTGTTAATTCATTGCAAGCATGAGCTACATTCTTAACCATATTGTGACTTCCAAGAGTGCCTTCTTGTGTTTAGTAGACATAATTATGTTGGGAATAATGAGGTCGGTATGAATATGCTACTGAATTCTTATGACAACATAAGAATTTGGGGCCCACTACCAGCCTGACAACGTGGCAGAGCTTGGTTTGATAGCTTGGGGTTATGACACAACTTTGGGAGCACTTCAGTTACTTGGGCCTTTGATTATAAATAATCATTCTGATTCTGTTGATTAGCATCAGAAATAATTTTCCTCTTTGGTTCCTCTCCCTTGCATCCAGTGGCAACAAAAACAAATATTTATCTTGGGAAGGAAACTCCCTGTAAGTATGCATCTTGTCTCCCACCCATGGAGCCTAAAGTTGGTTTAGAGCAGGGGTGGGGAATTATGGCCCCTTTATGACCTGTGGACTTCAACTCCCAGAATTCCTGAGCCAGCATGGAAACAGCTTGAGCCCGGCAGATGATTCAGGGTAGAATGAGATAAGCCCGTGTAAACCCTATTGTGACTGTTAGGGTGGACAACACAAGGCTGTGGCAGAATCGCTTATCTATATCAGTGCAGTCTGCCGCAACAGAAGCAGATTAAAATGAGGCAAAAATGGAGAAGGACTTGCAAAGAGCCGGTTTGATGTTGCAGCTAAAACTCCTAGGGTTAGAAACCAGGCGACTGAATTCTAGTTCTGCCTTAGACAAAGAAACCAATTGGATGACTTTGGATCAGTCCCTCTCTCTTGGTCCAGCCCACTTCATAGGATTGGTGTTTCTCAGCCTTAGCGATCTTAAGTTGTGTGGGCTTCAACTCCCAGAATTTCCTAGCTAGTTGGGGAATTCTGGGAGTTGAAGTTCATAGTCTTAAGTTGCCAAGGTTGAAAAACAGTGTTGAGGGAAATAGAAGATGAGACCATTAGTTACAACGCCTTGAATTGCACAAATAAAAGTGCGATACAAATAATATATGGGAATAAGCTCCTCTGAAGTGCTTTAGGGCTCAAAGAACCTCTTTTTTTTAAAGGACTAAGATTAGGAGCAAAATGGAAGGTTGGGCTTAATTACTGCCAGCATCCCTTTTAATCATGTTAATAACAGGAACAGTAATAAAGCTGTTTGTGCCTTGGATAACTGGACTCTTTTCTTTTTTTATCCTGGATTCCTCCGGAGATCTGAAGGAGGGCAGACAGAGACTTAGATAAGTTAATGCTGATGTTCAGGGTATTATTGGAACAGTGATGTGCTAATGATAATAATGAAGGACCAGTGCAAGCATGCTAGAAAGGGATCTATGCATGTAAATAAATCTGTTTCTCCCCATTACAACTAGTCCTCAAATTACAACAGTTCATTTAGTGACAGTTCAAAGGCACTAAAAAAGTGACTTATGACCATTTTTCACACTTGTGACCGTTGCAGCATCCTCATGGTATACGTGGTCACTTGAACAAAATTCAGATGCTTGGCAACCGACTCATGTTTATGATGGTTGCACTGTCCTGGGGTCACGTGATCACCTTTTGCAACCTTCTAACAAGCAAAGTCAACGGGGAAGCCAGATTCACTTAACAACTGTGTTACTAACTGAACAACTGTAGTAATTCACTTAACCGTGGCAAGAAAGGATGTAAAATGGGGCAAAATTCACTTAGCAACTGTTTTGAAGAAACAGTTGGGCTCCGTTGTGGTTGTAAGCTTGATTTTATCTTCTTGCATATTTTCTCTCTTCACTTTCCTTTTTTCCAAGTTAAAGAGCCCAAAGTTATTTATAAAACATTATCAATAGCTTTACATTTTTCTGTTTTTACTGCATGTATATATTGTGTTATCCTTTGGTTGTGAGCCGCCCAGACTTTGGCTTTAAGATGCATGGCCATACAAATGTATTTATTTGTTTTTTATCCCTCCTTTATTAATTGACAAGTAACTCAAGGTGGTGAATATATCTAATACTGCTTCCTCCTCCTGTTTTCCTTACAACTACAATCCTGTGAGGTGGCTTGGGCTGAGAAAGAGTGACTGGCCCAAAGTCACCCAGCCACCTTTCAAATAACAACAACAATAATAGTAGTAGTAATAGTAGTGTTGGAAGGGACCTTGGAAGTCATCCAGTCCAACCCTCTGCTCAGGCAGGAAACCCTATACCATTTCAGACAAATGGCTGTCCAGTCTCTTCTTAAAAATTTCCAGTGTTGGAGCATTCACAGCTTCTGGAGGCAGGTTGTTCCACTGGTTAATTGTTATGTCAGGAAATATACCTAAGGTGGGATTAGAACTCACAGTTTCCTTGCAGTTGGCCCAGTGAGTCAGAGAAACCTGCTCATTAAGAATAAGGAATGAAATGGAAATGATTATGTAATAGAAAAATAGGCCATATCAAGGAAAGGTTAGGGCTGTAGCAGTACAGTATATGTTGACTGATAGGGGTGCTTCCTCTTGGTTTAGCTAATCTGAAGGAGGGCCAGCCTTCAGAATGAATGATAAATCAGAGAAAAATCTTGTTATGCTTCAACCATGTAGTACACTGAAGTAGAATTATACAACTATTCATTCTAAGCATCTGTTCAAAATTACAATAGCACTGAAAAAAGTGAGTTACAACTAATCCTCATAGACACGGGATCATAATTTGGGAGCTTGGCAACTGGCGTGTATATACAAAGGTTGCGACATCCTGGGGCCATTTGCGAACTTTCCAGCTGGCCTCCAACAAACAAATCAATGGGGGAAAGCTGGATCCTCTTAACAACTGGGTAATTCGCTTAATTGCAGTGATTCATTTAACAGCGGTGGCCAAAAAGGTTGTAAAATTGAGTGCAACCCTAACAATCATCTTGCTTACCAGTGGAAATTCTGGTCCAAACTGTGGTTATAAGTCGAGGACCACATGTATGTGAAAAGGAATAATATTGCAGCTAATTCACAAAATTCAAAGCATTTAAGCTGCAGCAAAGTTCTCTTGATTTTTGTTCCGTATTGTCTGACAAGTTCAATATACTTCTATGCCCTGAAGAAAGAAAAAAAATCACGCTTTTAATTGTAATCTCACAGTTTTGCTGTTCTTCTGATGTCAGACTTGCATCTCACAAATGTGTAGAATCTCTGTCAAAATCCCAAACCTTTCTGTGAACTTATTCCTCTGCTGACTTGTGTTTCTCAACCTCAGCAACTGTACGGTGAGTGGACTTCAGCTCCCAGAATTGATGTTGCAGGCTGGGGAATTCTGAGAGTTGAAGTCCAGTCATCTTAAAAGTTGCCAAAGTTGAGAAAGGCTGATCTGAGTGAGAGCATCTCAGTTATAGAACTGTCCCCTCATCCCCACCGCTAATCTTCTTTCTCAAGATCCCTCATGTACAGCCAACTACTTCAGGGTAGAAGTCCTTTAAGCTTTCTTGAAACAGATAATCCTTAAAGTTACGACTATAATGAAGCCTGCCCGTCTCAGTAGTAACACGAGACAGCCGTTAAACAGGTCTGTCATGTGACCAGCCTGATTTTATGAGCTTTTTGCAGTGTTTGTTGAGCGAATCCACGGCTAAGCAAACCAGTGGTTTGCTAGGGCATGGTTTTGCTGAAAACTGGACATAAATGTTGTTTTTTGGCAAAACCATCGTGAAACACAATCATGTCACTACAGGATGCCGCAAGCAGCCGTATTCAGCCACTCACACACTCTCAGGCCAACCCACCTCACAGGGTTGCTGTTGATGGGAAAATAGGTGGAGGATTGTACGTTGGATATGTTCACTGCCTTAAATTATCTGTAAAAGCAATAAAGGCAGAATACAAATAAAGAGGCCCTGTTGCCAAGATCCCAAAGTGTGGTCACATGACTGCTGGGGAGTGGAGGTGCATCCATTGGAACTTTGAATCTGGATTGCAAATACCCCCCAGGCAGGTTTGTTGGAACTTCAGATGGTCTCCAAGTAACCAGTCGTAAGTTGAGGACTCTCTGTACTAATTTTGTTGGTTTTAAACTGATTTCTGTCCTTCAAGTTTGTAATTCCTGCTTGGGATGGTTTAGTTTGCTTCTCTTCCCATAAAATCCTCTGGGTTTTACTAGGATAAAAATAATTCAGAGCTTATGTCGCAGTGAACTTGTTAGCTCGCTGAAGCTTTTCATTGTCATTTAGGATTTCTGTTTGGATTGTACTATACTTATTTACCTTTGGGATGAATGCTACCGTTTAACTGTAAACATTACCTTAGGGCAGGGGGTAGGAAACCTTGGCTCTTTTATGACTCGTGGACTTCAACTCCCAGAATTCCTGAGCCAGCATGAAGGAATTCTGGGAGTTGAAGTCCACAATTATAAAAGAGCCAAGGTTGCCTGCCCCTGCCTTAGGGGATCTCTTCTAGTGTCTTGTTTCCAGCTAGCCTATTTGCCTATTTAAAATCTGGTCTTCAGAGATAGATTGCTTCTGCACATGGAGGCTCTAGTACCACCAGCTCCTGAGAGTAACCAAAATAACCATCTCTCTTTGTCTCTCTCCCTGCCTTTTTTTCTCTTTGCAGGTGAGCGTCCATTCCCGTGCAATTGGGCTGGCTGCCAGAAGAGGTTTGCACGCTCGGATGAGTTAGCCCGCCATTTCCGCACCCACACCGGTGAGAAGCGGTTTGCCTGCCCACTCTGCGAGAAGCGGTTTATGCGGAGTGACCACCTGACCAAGCACGCCCGCCGCCACCCAACTTTCCAGCCTGGCATGGTCCGACGATCTGATTGCTACAGAGCCTCCCCTACTGACTCAGCTGGCAGCAGCTTGGCCGGAAGCCCCGCCCCTGGCAGCCCCGCCTCTGACAGCCCCGCCCCTTAAAGGGGGCATGCCACCATGTTTCTTGTCCTCCCAGACCTGGCCTCTAGGGGGAGACCAGATACTATTTCAGAGGCATTTTTTTGATTCAGAAACTTGGTTTCCCCATCACTTCCAGTTATGATTTAATATGCCTTATTTCAGAAAAAAAAAAAAGCTTCTTCTTGTGCTTGGTGGCCATTTTGATTATTGTACAAATCCCTCTCCCTGCTTGCTTCCAAGCTGTAGCCTCTATGCACATTCCCATCCCACCCAAGCTGAGGATGGCAGGATTTGTGGAAACTAATCCAGCAGACTTGATTAAACTTGGTTGATGTTCCTTTGGAACATCCGTTGTGGCCCCCAGTCAGGGGTAACAGATGATTTCCTAGCCCTTGGTCAAAGAGATAGTCCCAACATCACTTTGCCTCAGTTTTCCAGCTGCAAAGAGACTTTATTCCAGGGGTGTGCAACCTTGGCAACGTTTAAGACCGATGGGAGTTGAAGTCCACAGGTCTTAAAATTGCCCAGATTGGACACCCCTGCTTTATTATTGTTGGAACTGTTCAGCTCAACCCTTCCCTATCATGGTGAGAATGCTGATTTTCACATTCATTGTAGCCCTCAGGAAATGAAAGTACCTTGTTTCACTTAGCTTTAAGCCTCTCTTTCTGGCCAACCTACAGATAAAGGAGAAACGATTGACTCTTCGCATTTAGAAAGAGACTGTGGTGGAAACTGCTCTCTATGATTTTTGGCCCTCTTGTGTTCAATAATCAGAATTAAATTGCCTCTGAGTAGGGAGGGACCATTTTAGCCATCAAGGCTAACAGCAAAACATATGAAATCATGGCTTTCCATCCCGTCTCCCCATCCCTGGCCTAAATTGATTGTCTGCAAACCATCTTTTGGGGAAATGTTCATATTGACGTAGGCCCTTTGACACTAGAACTGCAGCAAAAGTGGGAGATGATTCTTTTTCCCCACAGGGAAATTGGGTGTTGGTAACTAACCTTTTGACCTGATACTGTATGTAAATATATATCCCCCCCCCCAGGTCAACTTTACTTAAGGTAAAAAAGATGAGGACCTGTTTCTACGGGTGTATCTGTTTCAGGGTGTGTGTGTGTGTGTGCGCATGTGTGTTTATGGTTTTTATAAAATATGTATTTATTCCTTTAAAGATAGAATGCAGGAGACCAGTGGTAAAGTTTTATTGTCTGAATGGTTGGCACATGGATGAACTAAACCTGAAAGGAATGGGATTTTTAGTATGACTCAGGACACCTAAAAGCACTTTTTCTCACTTTCATGGGGCTGTGGCAACTGCTCTGCACAGCTGTACACCAGGCAAGTGTGTATGTGTGTGAGTTCCTTGTTTAAAAATGGATGCTTTAATGCTTTTGGTGATGATGGTTCTTTGCAAGCTGTCAGGTGTCTCTCAACAAGGCTAGACAGGAAGCAGGCCCAAGCAGGCATTTGAGGATACAAAGCTCCAGTAAGTAGATTTATGGTGGAAAAATGAATGCAGCCATTATGAAAGAATTTCAGTAATTGCTCTGTATTAAATGAAAAGTACGTGTTTTGTGAAATCCAGCTTTATTTTCTGGTGGCTTCTAGTGCCCATAAGCCATAGCTGGTGTGAAGCTGCTGGTCTAGTATTAGGCTATTTGCTTTGGATTTGGAGAGAATTGGCTCTTATATAAAAGCATCTTTGATTTCCTTCAGTGCTCTGCTTCTGAAAAACGTAAATCCATTTATGCAGACATGGCTGTCTTTGCACTTGCATTTTGAGAACAAGCCATGCTGTCACCATTCTTAGCCTGGCAAATAAGGTGGAATAGGATAATGAGATCTGGGCAGAAGTGCCATTTAGATGTTTCAAGGGATAGCAATAGAAGGAACTGGGAAGCAAAAAGCAGGAGGGAACAGATGTTGCCATATTAATGAGTCTTCCCCTTGGCAATATAGGTGGTTCTCGACTTACAACAGTTCATTTGGTGACTGAAGTTAAAACAACCCTGAAAAAAGTGACTTCCGAACGTTTTTCACACTGTGCAGCATCCCCATGGTCACGTGATCAAAATCCAGATGCTTGGCAACTGACTCATATTTATGATGGCTGCAGAGTCCCGGGGTCACGTGATCACCTTTTGCGACCTTCTGACGAGCAGAATCGACGGGGAAGCCAGATTAGCAACTGTATTACGCAACAACTGCAGTGATTCATTTAACAACCGTGGAAGAAAGGCTGTTGTAAAATGGAGCAAATTTCACGTAATAACTGTCTCATTTAGCAACATAGATTTTGGGCTCAGTTGTGGTCGTATGTCAAGGACTGTACTGTGCAGGTAGTCCTCAGCTTACGACCACAATTAGAACCGGAACATTCATGGTGAAGCGATGTAGTCGTTTAAGTGAGGCATCCCTTAAACAGGCATTTTACGATCTTTTTTGCCGTGGTTATTAAATGAGTCGTCGTGGTTGTTAAGCGAGATATCACATGGCCACTTGCGAGCGTGCCCGCTGGCTTCCCCCATTGATTTTGCTTGTCAGAAGCCAGCTAGGAAGGTTGCAAATGACCCTGGGATGCTGCAGGGGTCATAAGTGCAGTTGCCAGGCAACCAGATTGTGATTAGGTGACCGCTTGGAATACTGCAGTGGTTGTAAGTGCGAAGAACTGGTCATAAGTCACTTTTTTCAATGCAATTGTAAATTTAAAAACAGTTTACTTACAAATGGTCGTAAGTAGAGGACTACCTGTAACTTAGGCTAACCCTGACAGCAATCTTTCCCTTGGGTTGACTCCAGCTTCTAAAGCAGGAGTCCCCAATCTTGGCAGCATTAAGATTTGTGGACTTCAACTCCCTATGCTGGCTGGGGAATTCTGGGAGTTGAAATCCACAAATCTTAAAAGTTGCCAACATTGGGGACCCCTGTTCTAAAGTTCCTAGTCTGGGAGGGGAAGGGAGTGGTTAAGGATTGTCTGATTGGGACAGTGAGGATTACAAAGCAATTGAGGTAAGCGGAATGGTAACTGGGGAGAGGAGAATGTACACAAAGTAGCCCAGGAAATAATATTCACCTGGTTTAACTTCAAATAGGAATCCAACTGGAGTAGCATTAAATCTTGTGTCTTCAAATGCAGCCCTGTGGACTGATTCCAGGATGCACTGCCCCATCCTTATTTATTTGAACTCAGGACCCCATTGATCCTAGGCCTTACAGATTTCCAGTGGTCAGAAGCAATGGCAGGACAGAGAATTTATGGTATTGGAAAGAGGCTCTGTAGCCAATGAGTTAATCCACAACTGTCCATTGCAAGAAAGCAATCTGGATATCCAGCATAGAGTTCACTGGTGCGTTTGATCATTGGTTCCAGACTGATCATTGCTCTTGACATAAGGAAAGCTTTCTTATCATTGAACAAGAATATGCTTTTGCATAAGTTTAAGACCAATTTTTTTGTGTCCTGGCACTGTAGGAAAATAAAACGAGGTTAGATGTCTTCTTTCGCTTGAATAACTTCTGCTCTAGAAGTTGTGGGTGCCTATCGTATTTAGATTTCTGATGTGCTCCGGGAGTGAAGTGGAGTAAATACCTTATCCCATACATGTCATTAGGCAATTGATTTTTTTTTATAGATAGACAAATCGATATATTTAAAAAATACCCATCCTTCCTCTTATATAATCAAACTGGTATTTTATTAAAGGAAAGTACAGTATATTTTATTTCTTTTGAAATAGTAATGAAAGCTTGCGCTTACTGCTGGAATGTATTTTTGTAGAAAAAAAATCAAGTCATGTTGCACTTCCAAAGTTTTAGAGGAGAATTCTGATTTTGGTGGAGATACTACAGTATTTTTTTATTAGAACAAAAGACCCCTCTTAATCCTTTCCCCATGCATTTTATAACTGATAGTCTCCTCTGCTGAGATACTGGCTACAGGAAGAGGGGAAAATAATATCCAGTATGTAGGAAATAAACATCTTACCAGAACCCCCACCTTTGCCAGTCTGCCATGATTTTTAAAGGTTTATAATCCCAGAACCTCTATGGCAGTTGCTAGATCGAAAAGTGATGAGAATGGTTTTTCAGATGCATTTATTTTACATGATTATATACACATGTTTATGCTCTAGTGGATCCTCTGCTTTAAAATCCATCTCTGTATTTTGATCAGTGTATCTGTTGCATGCTGTTGTGTGCTGTGTTTGAATTGAGAAGGAGTTATTTTCATTTTCTCCAGATCTGTATTTTTAATAATAAGCACTGACGTTTGGTGCACCATTTTGTGTGTATTTTCTCTGTTCTATTTTTAAATAAAACAAACAAAAACAGGCTCTTCTCTTTAACCTATGTGCATGAAGAGATTTAACATTTTTGTTTGTATGAAAAGATTTTAACATTTATATATTTTGACTTATTTGCTGAGTGGTGTGGTAAACTGGTGGTGAAGAGTTAAATCTTAGGTAGTGGCAGATATTTCTCTCCTAGGGCACAAAGCAAAAATATCTGCTGCAAACTCCTCATGGCATCAGGAGGGGCATCCAGCCAGTAAGTGCTCAGCTCCATCCAGTTGCCCTAACTACCCCAAATTAAGGGATCACAGGGTCATAAAAAAGTTTATATGTGATTTATTCACTGCTAATAAAATAAGATAAATACATTACATTGAATCATTAAAATGAAAATTACAAATCATGGAGGTATTTGTACAGGAGTTTTTTTTTGTTTCTAAGGAAAAGGGTACTTTACCAAAAATCCACTTCTTTTTTTTATTATTATTATTTTTTAAAATTTTACAATAAAATTCCCTTCCCCAAACCCTCCCAACCCACCCCAATACCCTCCCCCAATCTTCCCAGAGCTGAATACAGGCTTAATTAAAACTTAAAAGAAAAAAATTAAACACCAATAAACCATAAACAAATTTGATTATAGTCATTAAACAAATTATAAAATACTTTAACACCAATATATATAGAAATCAGAAAGAGGAAAAAAAAAGAAACAAGAAAAAAAAGAAAAAAAGAAAAAAGTAATAATAATTATACTTCTAATTATACTTCTAAATAATATCTTAAACTTTAAATATAAATTATTCAAAAACTAAATAATATTTTTTTATATCGTACTTATATTGTACGAAATTTATCCATCTTTTCCACACCAAAAAATACTTCTCTTGCGATTGCTCTTTCAAGAAAGCCGAAATCTTTGCCATTTCCGCTAAGTAGGAAACTTTAAAAAACCATTCTTGCAAGGTAGGCAAAGATTCCTTCTTCCAACACTGCCCTATTAACAACCTGGCCGCTGTAGTTAAATTTAACATTAATATAGTCTCTTTGTTATCACAATCCGAAACAATACCCAGCAAAAACAGTTGTGGGGTAAATTGTATCCTTCTTTTAAAAATTCTTTGAGTATTCCACCATATCTTAATCCAAAAAGCTTTTATGTTTTTACATGACCACCAAATATGATAATAAGTAGCATCCAAGCAACCACATCTCCAACATTTAGGCTGCAGGTTTGAATACATGCGAGACATTTTCTGTGGGTCAAGGAGCCATCTATAAAACATTTTATAAAAATTTTCCCGTAAATTTTGGGCTTGTGTAAATTTAACATTCCTCACCCAAATAATCTCCCAAGTATCTAATGGAATCGGTTCATCAAAGTTTTGTGTCCATTTAACCATACAATCTTTAACTAATTCTGCTTCTGAGTCCAATTCCACTAACACCCCATAAATTCTTTTGATGTGGGTTCAACTTTGATCTCTAATTTGTTTTAACAAATTCTCATCCTGTCTAAGCAGACCCACATTATAATCTACTTTCCACCTATCCAATAGTTGTCTATACTGAAACCATGAATAAATAATATTTTCTTGTGCTAGCTCATCCATACGTTTTAATTGCCAATTTTTACCATCCCATCGAAGTAATTGTGCATAAGAAATACTATCCATCTTAACTCCTCTCCTTATCCCTTCTATCGCATGCCATGGGATAGCCCATAATGGAATTCTTGAATCACTTCTATAATATTTCTTCCAAACCCGAAGTAAGGAAGTTCTTAAAATATGAGACTTAAAAACCCTATCCATCTTCTTATTAAAAATTAAATAGGCATGCCATCCAAAAAGTAAATCCCATCCCTCCAGGAGGAGTATATCTACATTTGTTAAATTAACCCAATCACTAATTAATGTTAACGCCACAGCATCATAATACAATTTCAGATTCGGTACCTTGAGTCCACCTCTCTCTCGAATATCTTGTATGATTTTAAGTTTTACTCTTGGTTTTTTCCCTGCCCAGATGAATTTATTGATACCTTTCTGCCATTCATCTACATTTGCTTCTTTCTTTAAGATAGGTATCATTTGAAATAAAAAAAGAAACTTTGGCAAGACATTCATTTTGATCGCTGCAATTCTCCCCAATAGGGATAATTGCAACTTTTTCCAATTATCCAAATCCTTTTGTATTTTAACCCACAGCCTTTCATAATTATTTTTATACATAGTTTTGCATTGGAAGCAGATAAAATAACCCCCAGATATTTTACCCTGTTAACAACCTTGAAATCTGTCAACCTAACCAGGGTCTCCTTGTCCAAGTTGGTCATGTTTTTAGGCAATATTTTAGTCTTATTATTGTTAATTTTAAAACCCGAAACTTGTCCATAATGATGTATCAATTGTAACAACTCCATTACAGAGTGAGTTGGTTGAGATAAAGTGACAACCAAATCATCTGCAAAAGCCCTTAATTTACATTCTTTTTTATTAACTTCTATTCCTTTTATTTTCTGTGATTCCCGGATTTTAATCAGCAAAATTTCCAAGGTTAAAACAAACAACAATGGCGACAATGGACAACCCTGTCTAGTCCCCTTTTCAATTGAAAATACCTCAGATAAACCTCCATTAACTATAAGTTGTGCCGTTTGTTTTTGATAAATAGCACGAAGAGCCTGTAAAATTTTTTCTCCAAAGTTCATTTCCTCAATTAATCTTAACATAAATTGCCAATTTAACTGATCAAAAGCTTTTTCAGCATCTAAAAATATCAATCCTGCAGAAACTTCGTTGTTTTTATCCAAATATTCTATTAAATTAATAATTTGTCTAACATTATTCTTCATATACCTTCCAGTTATAAAACCTGTTTGATCCATATGTATTAATTGATTCAACACACTCATAAGTCTATTGGCTAGAATTTTCGAAAAAATCTTATAATCTACATTCAAAAGAGATATAGGTCTGTAATTCTTTGGTAGAGTAAGATCTTGGTCTTCTTTTGGAATCAGAGATATAAAAGCTACCCCAATCCACTTCTATTATTTATTTGTTTATTACCAAAATGGGCCGATGAGCATCACTTTGATGAGTCCAAGTTATCAGAACCCGCATGTCTCGACATTATCTAATCTGGTGTCTTCCAGGTACATTGGGATCATATCCTAGAATTCAAAAATAGCAGTCCTGTTGGAATTTTCATGTTGACGAATTCTAGAAGCTGCATCTAAACAATCTGGAAGATGCCAGGTCTAGAAAAGGTGGTGCAAATCACAGCTTCAGCCTCTGTATGGTTATCTACAATATTTTTAAAAACTTATTATCCTGGGCACAGGTTCCATTGGACACAACGATTCCTGAAGGGAAAAAAGAAGTAGGGATGTCTGCAAAGTGGTCAAAAAGTTCAAAATGGCAGCCACAATCATGTCAATATAGCATCATATATTGCTACATATATCTCAACTTTTTAAAACACTCTGTATACAAGTTATATTCTGTAAGATTCTCTAGTAAGCTAAAGGAGACAAATCAGTCATTTGGGTTGATACGGTTCTTTTTTAAATAACTGCCCCAGGATTCACAGCTTTATACAATCTGCAGCTAAATGATAATTTAGGCTTCACAGAATACACTACCCAGATACCAAGCAAACTACATGCAACCTCAGCATATTGCATGAAAACATGTATTTAAATCCACATTTTATTTAAATGTATTGGCCATCCAGTTTCAGCATGTAATGTTGCAAGGGTATTGCTGTTAGATCTTCCTCCCCTTTGCAATAATAAAAGCAGGAGAACCAATCTTGATATTCTCAGTGGGCTTTCAGCATGTGCTGACAGTTGTGAGGATCAAATGAAAGGTCAGTATCTAATTTCTATGTCTTCCACACCGGCATAGCAGCATCTGTCTACTTTCATAATTGCTTGTGGAACTGGACTGTCTCCTGAGCTGTATTTCTCCTGGGGGCAAAAGCCCATTTAACAATGCAGATACAAAGCGTTTCTCAACGATGGCAATTTTAAGGAATGTGAAACTTTTAACTGCCAGAATTCCACAGCCAGCATGCATGCATACTGCTCTAAGGATGCAACGATGGAAATCTCAAGTTCAGATTTGCCAGTTTTATTATTTGAGCCTTTTGATTGTAGGGAAAAGCTCTAAATCTTCATTTCTTACTTTATTTTAAAATCTGTATATCAATGAATTTCTTTTCATAAACTACAGTCATTTTTGAACAGGCACCTTCATAGCCACCTTAAAGCAAGCCAGCTGTGTTGCCATGCAAAGCCCGGAAGGGACCTGCCCTATTTTATCCAATGGCGAACGCGCATTCCTTATGTTGTCCTTAACTAAGATGGCTGCGAAATTTTCAGCGTCTCTATCCCGTGCTGCACACCTTTGACCTCTGCCTTAAAGTTATAGCCGACGTCTTTGCGGAACATGCGCCCTTGGGACCCAGCTTCTTTTCCTTTAAGTAAGATGGCAACCTTGTTCCTTACTTCCTACGACGTCTTGCCCTTAGTGGAGGCGGTAGAGCTGGCTTCTTTCGTCGCCCTGATTCTGCGCATGCGCCATTAACTTTGGAACGATACTTTCTTGCCCAAAAGGAAGATGGCCGCAGCCTGAAGCTGCGAAAAATCAGCTGAGGGGAAGCGACGGTTGGGGTATTCCGCGACCTGCTTTTTTCTCCTCATGCACCGCCGGGATGCTCTGCTCGAGCGGCTTCTTCCGCGGCATCGAATGTCCCTACGGGCAGGCCTGCGGGAGGCCTTACTGCCATTTCAGACACCCGCCCGGGGCCCAACACACCTCCGATGGCCCTATACCGCCTCGACGCCTTTTGGCCCTGTCTGCTCCCGACAGACGCCCCGCCACACTCGGAGGTACTCGGACAGCATGGTGACCTTTCCTCCAACTGCGGTCTGAGGAAAAAGCCCTCTCGCTATGTTCCGTGGCGCTGTTGAACTCGGGCTGGAGACGAAAAGCATCGGCGTCCCTGTGTCTCGTCGGGTAAAGGCGGGGACGTGACTGGCTTTTCTTAGGTTAAAGAAATCCCCTGCAACACCCCCCCCCGGCGGCTTTATAACCCACCCTGTCTCGTGGGATGAGGTGTGGTCGGGGAGGGGATCATTCAGGCGAGGCTTCTTCCTCGCCCTGATCTGGGGAAGGAGAACTAACCTTGTAAGTGTGAGGGAATTTCCCAAGAGTGTTTGGGATGGGAGGAAAGCAAAGGAGAGCTTCCCTTTTCCCGGAGCAGAATCGCTCATACCCCAATGGGGTAGGCAGGAGCAGCCATTTACATGCGTGCAGCAGCTCTCCTGAACGGGGTGGGCAGAATGAAGCCTCCCGGGGCAATTACTCCTATTCCCTGACTCCCATATCGCATCTGCGTAAGAAAAAATAATGTGTATGTTCGTAAGTTATTGTAACTAATTAAAGAGGTTTTTTTTAAAAAAAAAACTTGTCCTGGAGAGAGAGAGAGTCCTGGAGAGAGGGAGGGAGGGAGAGAGAGAGAGAGAGAGAGAGAGAGAGAGAGAGTGAGTGTAGACACTTGCCTCCTACCATTCTATGCCTTCTCGATTCACAGTTGCTTTGTTTGTACGAGGCTCTTTCCTGGCAAGGCATAATTTGTGGGAATCGATGTCATGAAGTGTGGGCGTGGTCATGTGTACAGTTAGCTTTAGAAATGGCGTGGTAATTAAATGGAGCCTCTGCATTTAGAAAAGGTTTTGTCCCTGACTGTGTGCTGATAGGGATGGGCAGAGTAAAAGGGCCACTCTGCTTCCTGGCTTGCTTCAGGTTAGGTCAGTAAATATGCAAGATTTTGAAAACAAGTTGCCAACCTGCTTGCTAGGTAGTTGCCACGGAGCCTTACTTTTTCCAGTTGCTCCTGTGCTGTGCAAAAGAATAGAGAATAGAAAATAGAATAGAATATAATTTTATTGTCACTTTAAATGTACACTAATCAGCATACATTAAAATGAAATTGTGTTGCATTATGCATATATCCACATACACACACACATACACATATGGCACAGAGAAACATCACAGTCTAGTTCGAATGTATACATATACATTCAGTTTCCAAGAAGGTGAATTAATAAGACACCACTGCACTTTTTGGTTTAGTTTAAGCGGTTTTTAAAATTAAATTGGTGGGGAAAGGAACCTGGTAGGTAATGTTTATGGTCAGGGAAAAGTGTATATCATGCTTGTTCCTCCGAGCTATACAGATGTAACCTGGCTATAAGGTTCTTCCTGCTTTAAGATTATACAGGTAATCCTCAATTTATGACCACAATTGAGCCCAAAGTTTTTATTGCTAAGCAAGTGAGTTGTGTCCCATTTTACAACCTTTTTGCCAGAAGTGTTAAGCGAATCACTTCAGTTAAGTGAATCTTGTGGTTGTTAAGTGAATCTGGCTTTGCATATCAGAAACCAGCTGGAAAGGTTACAAATGGTAATCACATAACCTCAGGACAATGCAATTGTCATCAATACATGCCAGTTGCCAAGAGCCTGAATTTTGACCATATGATCATGGGGATGCTGCAGTGGTCATGTGAAACCAGTCATAAGTCGCTTTTTTCAGTGCCATTGTAAATTCGAATTATCACTAAACAAATGGTTGTAAGTTGAGACTGCCTATATCAGTGATGGTGAACCTTTTAGAGCAGCGGTTCTCAACCTATGGGTCGTGACCCCATTTGGGGTCGATCGACCATTTTTCAGGGGTCGCCAAAGGCGGCGATCCGCCATTTTCTCCCCTCCGGGGGCGGCGCCGCGCATGCACGCCGCGCATGGGGGCGCCGCCGCGCATGCACACCACGCATGCGCATAACGTTTGTGTGACGGGGGTCGCCGTCACACAAACGTTGAGAACCGCTGTTTTAGAGACTACCCAAACTACAACCCAAAACCCACTTATGCATTGTCGAGTGCTGGGTAGGTGTGGCCCATTGGTGGTTGCAGTGGTAACGGCAGACTAGGTGGGACTAAAAAGTTCAATCATTCATTTCCAACTTTGCAAGATCTTTTTTTTCCCCGCGAGAAGTTAAAATTGACTGATTGAACCCTTTTTTTTTTTTTTTGCACACGGTGGTGGAAGCCTAAAGCGAAAAGGTTTTATAAAACCCAGCTGAAGGCCTAGGACTGGGGCAACGGCGCGCATGTCCACAGAGAGGGCTCTGAGTGCTGCCTCTGGCACCCGTGCCATAGGTTCGCCACCACTGACCTATATCATGTGTTTCTTTTTAATTTGACATGTGCATTTTGTAATTCTTCTGCATCATAATGATATATTTGGTGGTGTTGTACATTGCCATTAAGTACTTTATATCCTCAAAGATTTATATATATAAAAAGATGTTACATAAGAGGAGCAAGTTTTACTGGACAAGACTGAGACTAACAGAGGATTTAAAAATGACAGACTCCAGGAATGATATGGAAAAAGATGTACATTGGATATACCAATGAAACGGGCTGATGTCCTAAAAGGATACATAAATAACAAATCCAAAAAGCAATCTGGATGACTCTCCTATATTGGATTTAGAAAGAGACTTGTTCAAGTTTTAAAGAATTTTGTGAGAAGGGAGAAAGAAAAATGAAAAGAAATCAAGTTCTAGGACAGTGGTTGAGATGTGTTTAAATATTAGTAGCTCTGAGCTTGGCGATTTGGTTACAAACATTTTGTTTCCATTCAGGGGGACATCTTCAATGCGCTTTGAATTGTGCTCATCTGTCAGAGCACCGCCCTTCAAACACCTTTTTGTGTGATATAAATTGGTGTGGGTGTTATTTGTCCAGATGTTTCTGAGTGATGGTCTAGTTTTGGGCTGTTTGATTGGCTGGTTTTTGTTGATGGGCCATAGTCTTTGGTGTTTAAGCATTGTCCATGTGATGCAAATGGTGTTTGTTCATTTGGTTGCTTCTGAGTCATGGTCTGGTTTCGGGTAGTTTTGATGGCTGGCTGTCATTGTGGGGGGTTGTGATTTTTGTTGTTGTGTGGCGGGGTGCCTGTTTGTTTTAAATGCTGCCTTTGGGATTGCGGTTGGAGTAGTTCTTTCGTTCTCAGTGGTTGGTAGATTGGGTTGATGTCAATGTGCCTGTTTATTGACTTATTGGAGGAGGACAGTTCTAGGACAGTAATTGCAGGGATTATATATCAAGTTTGTTAGAAATAAAAGGAAGAATATAAAGTTGTTATATTTGATCAAGGTTAAAATAAATATTAATATTGGAGAGTTTAGTATAGTGCATACCAAACTGACATCAGGCTAGAAACAGTGGTGTTATGTGCTCCTGGCTACTTTCGTTCGTGACCAGAGGCAAGCTCGCCTGACCAATAACCAGCCAAGACACAGTGAAGGCCTTTTGTTTCGTTTATTGCAATAAGCGGGGAGAGAAGCTATCAAAGCTTGGTTCTCTTCAAAGTTTTAACCCAAAATATCTCCTTCTTTTATTCATCCCTATCACCGGCCGCTACAGCCCTCCTCTTTCCCCATTGGCTGAGGTAGTATGAGGTTACACTCTTTCCGTCCGCCTATACACATTTCCTGATAACATACTAAATCATATTCACATATACAATAAGAATAAGAAAAAATATTTTCTTATGGTTATTTTAAACTCAGTATATATTTATGTCCCCATTTTAAACAATAAGTTCTTTTCCTGTTCTCCATTCAACCTTCCTGGCTAGCCATTTCCTTAAAAACAACTATTTATCTATTTTATTACTTCCCTCTTCCTTTCTCAGACCCAGCTATTTTTGCCTATATGGTTATCTTACTTCCTTAATGTTATCTCTTTCTGACTCTCACCATCTGTATTTTTTTCTATTCAGTTAGTTTCCATTGTATTGTATTTTTAACTGACTGAAGATTTATCATATTGATGTATATTTATCAATCCCCCCTGTATTTCTGTATACTCTGATGAATCTTCATTTTTGGCTATATTAGATAACATAAATTGAATCTGTACATCTTCTCCAGAGATGTTTTTCGCTACTGACCCCAATGTTTTGGTGCAAAATGAAATACAGCAGGGTATACATTGGAGACAGACACAACACATAATACCTATCACAACTATAAACACTAGTCCTATAACTATTTGTTTTAATCATTCAAACTTGGGAAGCCAATTTGTTAACCAACTCCAATCACCCCACATATTTTCATACTTTTGTTCAGGAGCTTTGGCCACATTCCTGATTCCTTTTGCAATGTCCATCACTGCTTTATGATTGTCAGCTACCTTTAAATCCCACAAACAAATTTTTACCTTTATTTCCCAGGCTGTTCTGGTGTGTTGTCTTCAGTAATATTAGAAGTAGAATCCACCCTTCATGATTATTACACAGTATTTCACACCCAAAAATTGATCCACAATTACAACAATAACAATAACAATAATCACTAACTATTACAGAGGTAGCACATCTACCGCCTAATTCTTACAATGTACAATTCTACATTTTCAGTTTCTAATGGTATGACTTCGGACTTAATTATTCATTTTATTTGTAACAAACAACTTTTATTTTTCTGATGAGTCATCACCAACATCTTTGTTCTTCATCTGGGGTCACCTGAAATTCTAATAAAGATATTCAAAATAGATAGGGGTTCTGGTCCACTACCCATTCAAGTCCTTTTAAATGTGGCTTTCAGTCCTTGTCCTGGAATAACCGTCTACCCTCTTTCAGGTCCAGTCACCACCTTTGCTCATGTGTAGTGAGTCCAACCCTTCTCAGCCCTCCGGACAGCAGATATAACAAGGAACTTCCTTTCTTTGGTTATAGAAGTTCCTCCTTCCATTTACGATTCAGCACCCACTGTCCCAGCTGGATTTTATGGACTGGAAATTC